GAAGTGATAGCAGTCGTAGTTCGTAGAAGCTACTGGTCAGATCTTCTGAAGCATTGATTGTTGACAATGGGAAGAAGCTAGAAAGCAAAATGTCTCCCCCCTCTCCTGCCCCGTAGCCGAGCTACGCCTAAGCATTCTGAAGTTTCACCCCTGGTTCAGCGCGCTACTCAATCCGATCGTATCATAACTTCACTTATTGTTAGTGACGGCTTCAGAATGTATATGTCTAAGTTTTGTACTCCGACACTGCCTTCCATTGTCCCTGGCAACCATGATCTATGCAGCTCTTGACCTTTTTAGCTGCCGTTCCGCAACTAATTGTTGTTGTCTTATAATGATAACGGTTGACCGGCTCACCATGTTGAACGTGTGAGTGCTGTAAGGCTACGGCATAAAAGCCGTTAAGCTGAGAGGGTAAGAAGCGGCCCTGGTGGCGTAACGGATAGCGCACACGCCAGAGAGCGTTATGTGCGCATTGGGGCTCCACTTGGGATCAAGAGGTTTGCCCATACCTCAGTATTTTTATAAAAACTCAATGTTTTACAGGACTTCTGCCACTTCTATTTTATTGGTATCGGAGTGTTGCCCGTTATGCTTTGCCTCGCTTATAACCATATCGTTTATGGAACATGCGAACTGAAGGATTATCCCGAGGTGAGTTTTGCTGGTTTAAGTGTTAGCGTTTTCGACATGCTATGTTTTTTCAAGCTGTTATTGTTTGATAACTGCTGTTTAACGCCGCAGTGCGCGATCCGAAAGTTATCACAAGAATGCTGAGTTGTGGGCAAAAGTCGGACCACGGACGGGATTCGAACCCGCATCTTCTGCTTACCGGGCACCCTACTACGCTGCCGGGGCCACTTTTGACCTCTCAGCTCAATGGCACAAATAGCTGAGAGGTCAAAAGTGGCCTCGGTAGCGTAATAGGGAACGCAACTGCCCGGTAAGCAGAAGATGCGGGTTCGAATCCCGTCCGTGGTCCGACTTTTGCCCAAAACTCAGCATTCTTGTGATATCCTAAGAATTTGTTTGACACGTTGCCGACCAAGTTCCCTGGTGGTGTAGACACATGCTGTTTACCGGTCCAAAAAATTTTGAGGAACTTCAGAAGAAGAAAAAAATCCGAAGAGATCAAATAGGCGTCCTTCCTGCGTGTGTTCGAATGCGTCACGTGGTGGTGCACACGATCCGCAATGTGTTGAGCATTGCTTTTTATTTATCTCTCTGAAACGTACATTTTTGTGTGGCAAAAATTGAATCCATTTCTGATTCCATTCGTTGAACAGCAGTTATCATACTAAAACCTCTTCGGAACGTCTGAAGCCTTCACTCTCGGTTCCGCCCAATGAGCTCATCGCGTTAGATGTGTAGGCTACGGGCATAGAAGCCATTGTGCTGAAAGGGTACGGCCCGAGGGGTTACGGATAGCGCACGTGCCGATGAGCGGAATGGTTCGAGTGCATGGGGTGTGAAACTTCCTACAGTTTAGCATTTTTGTAATTCCATTCATGGTTATTCATCGTTAGCAGGCGAATTCTCAACAAAACCAATCAATTGCACTGAGAGTTGCTGCGGGAATCTGTTTGCTTTTTTGGAACAAAGTTTTTCTTTTTAAAAAATTGTTATTCCAACCGCCAATATGCGTGAATTGCTATTTTTTGTCGGTTTATCGAATTTTTCTCCCGAATCACTTAGCTGTTCCAAAGTGAAAGGTCATACTGTTGAAAGGTCACCAATGATATCGTTTCTTGAGTGCAATCCCTATGATTTATCAGGACTTTTTCCTCTTCTTCCAGGGTGAACCTCCACATTATTGGCAGTTCGAGAGAACACCCGTTCGTCAGTGGTGGGCGAAACACTTCGGGATTTCGGACATCGAACACCATGAAAGGAATCTCGCATATTATGAAAAACTAGGAATACAGGCTAGATGGAGGTATGGTTCAGATTTTTTTTACTATGAGTTGACACTACTCTTAATCGGAACGGAGCCATAAAGCTTAACGTTAAGTTCAAAGATGTATGAGGAACATGGGAGGACTTGCTGTAGGACTAGTGTGCGTGACATGGTCCAGGGATACGCAAAATTATGTGAACGTCTGATTTCTCTATTTGATCAACTGTTCCCTTTCCAGTTAAATGGATTTTCCTTGGTGTAATAGGCAAAAGTCTATTACGCAATAATTCAATATGTCTATTCTTTATCTGTCTGGGGAACGTTTGCTCCAAACAGTTTATTGCATGTTGTAGGGGAAAATACGAACCGCCGCAGTGAGGTTCGTTTTTGCTACACTCTTTGCCAAAAAAGTGAAAGTAGCTCGATGGTTCGAATCTCCATAATGATATTTTGCTACCCTGTTTTTTTCTTTGTGCTTATATATGTTCGGTTATTTTGTCTGAAAGTAAAGGTCGCTAATAATCTTGAGGGAGGGGGAGTTGTACAAAAGCAGGGGAGACGGGCAAGAGAATCGTAATTTGCCGCTCCGCCGCGCGCGGCGATGGGCGCGGCGTTTTCTTAACTCGTGTTAACCTGTCGATGGAGCACCGGACTTCATGTAGACCCCGTCATCGTAGACATTCATGACTATTTTCGGTTCTGAATTGCCTGTTGTCGCCATCTACTACCTGGAACCATCGTCATTTGCGGGCGCGACGTCGCACGCGACGCCCACCAGCGCGGCGAATTACGATTCTCTTGTCACATACCCCAAATGCAGATCCATCGTAATGGACAGTGGAAGAGAGGCGGTCTTAGTGAACCTATTTCAACTGTGGTAATTCTCTTCAAATGATGTGAATCCCAGTTCTGCTTGAGGAGTCCTTCCAAGGCCATCTTCCAGGGCAGTCATCTCCAGAACGTGACCAAAACACACGGGTCTTTTTTCGGGAAGAGGAACGCCTTCTGTCACCCGGTTCGCCATGAAACTCTGCAACTTCTTTCCTCATTTTTGGAATTCTCAGCTGCGCACAGGAAAAACGAGCCATAATTTTGTGGTACACGCATGCACTTCTATAACATTAAGCAGACGGTTCTGAAAAAAAAAACGCTCTTCATCTGAAAGAATATCTTAGTAGTCGGAGGGTGTCATAAAGAAACTATCTGATCAATGAGTCTTCACTGTTGTGTTCTTTATTTGGGTGGAAGGGGGAGGAGGATTTTCAGAAGTTCGTCTCGATAGGCATGTGATATAAGACCAATTTCCAAATTCCAATTTTCTGAGCCAGCTAGGCATTCAAATATTATTCAAGCTGGTAGTAGGAACTAGCCTCTTTGAAGTGACAGCATGAAAACGAAATTTGAAAAGGCGAACCCCGTGATTGCATTTATAGATGCCAAAGAGGCGATATTTTGCTGCCTCTAGCTCAGTAACTGCTTCTTCTCGTCATCCAATGTTAACACCCTCTAAAACCAAAAAAAAAATTTCGGTGACCGGTGCAGTTTAGGAGGGCATAGAACTGTCACTTATGAGGACAACCCTCGTACTCGCTGTAAAGCTCAGTCATTTTGTATAAGGAAGGACGTCTACGGATTGGCTGAGCGCTGTAACTGTATCCACCTCAAAATGTTTTGTATCATTCCAGCATAACCTTCTGTCTGTCATCTTAATGGTTGCCCTAATTTTGTGTGCAATAGGGCGCTGACGTTATTCACGATTTTCAGGCAAATTGAGCAGCGTGTTAAACATTTGGAAGGAGAGCGTTGGGATTACAAGGCTTGGAGTTACCAGCCGGTGTCGACTACTTGGGTGGATTACGGTAGATGGCATGCCCTGCGCCTTCGAGACCAATACGAACAACATGGACATTATCCGCAATAATTTGTTCGGTAAGTGGACATTTCAAGACTTATTGTTAGTAGCGAGCGAATTTGCGCGCTCCAACTGTATCTGCGTGAGCGATCGAAATGTTCCAATTTTCAGACACGGCTGCCGCGATGTGGAAAGATATGCATCCAGCGGTCATTGTTGGGATAGTAGATGAATCGAATTGTTTCTTTAGTGTTTTGTAAATAGATGATAAAGTTAGAGTGTGATTTTGGTGTTTTCTGTACTTTGTTATAATAACGCTCGCAGAGTTATCTTCGCCTCATTCACTCGCAATATAAACGTCAAATGTAGTGCTTGCAGCCGGTTTTGTCCACAACTATTTTCGCGGAAATATTTTTCCTGATGCGATTGTTGTGACGATTCGGATACTTATGAGTAGGTTTCCTTTCGTCGCATTAGTTTTTTGCGTCATCAGATCATGGTAAACAAGATAACCTCCTTTTATTGGGACTCCTATGCTGTTTCCATGAATGGTAGGAAAAAATGTTTTCCTACGATAGTCATAACCCAAAGCCCTACCTACACGTATTCAGAACATCCAGATTATTGGTGCAACTTTCTTCATCTCTTGTCTCCCACTATCCCTTCTGAGAAGTTAATTCTAAACGCGGGGAAGGAATCTCTTTCGATCGTGTGAATGTGATGATATTCGTGATTTGCAGTTTTCGTTAAATAATTTCTTTTCCTTGCTTTTGTGGTAGCGGGAACCCGCCGCATTTTTCAATTCGACATCCTTGTGAATCTCCTCTTCGTAGACAGCCCCCTCTCAAGCAGTACACGGTCGGTCCTCCTCTGATGTACCAGCCCAAGCTAGAGGACTATCCCACTCTCGCAACTCCACAGCCAGCGAGGAGGCGAGCTGCAGTCGCTGAAAGTTCTAGTTCTAACGCCCGTCCAGTTGGACCGCGCACTTGCTAGATGTCCTGTGGCGGAAGGCCGCTCTGTTGTTCTTTGTTAGAGCGGCGGCATTGAATGGATCGCATGCCTTTTCGCTGACCGCCTATGTGCCATACAATTGATTCGTGCTGTCTTTTATTAACATGCCATCAGAGGGCAAACAACCAACTCCATCGTCTCGCAAGCGTGAAACACGTAAAAAATCCTGAGCGACTCAATGGTTTCGTTGTGCAAAAACTCGAACGCCACTTCACTAGCACTAAAAATATGCGCTACGCGTAACCTGAATTTGGACGGCCGGCTATTATGTTTCTTTTTCACTCAGAATTTTTCTTCCGTGTTTTGTCGTTTTTCGTTGCATTGGATGATACCCACTTATAGAGAGATTTGTGAGCCAGGGTTGCACAGAGACCGCAGGGAGGTGTGACTGTCAGGGAGCGATTTTGTTTATGGTGTTCTTGAGGACTCTTCTTGCTTTTTTTCTTTGGGGATTACTTATCAGCTACTGTTTCATAATTGAAAAGCAACTATCCATGACACCTTTTATCGCGGGAGCTGTCTTTAAGGGCATGCTTCGTCTCGCAATTCTAAAAGCAGCGGTGGTGCGCCTGTTCCTCTACTCTCTGTCCCATTTCGGATAGTGAGGGAGATGAGAAAGAGAAAGAACGGCCCTAAAAAAAAAGAGAACTCGTCCGATCACGCTCTTTCTTCGCCCTGTGCACGTACGAACGCGGCATGGGGCCCTAGGTGAGGTATTTGGGAAGGGGGAAGGTGTGCGTTTTTCCTCACTTTTATGTTCTTCACCATATTGTCGCTCGTATTTGAGCCGCTCAAACCGCCACTTTTAGACGCGGGACCTTTGAGCAGTTTACGACCCGTTGCACACTGCTGAGCTACTTGGACGAGTGTACCCTTCTTTCCGATAGTTCCTATCTTCTGAAAGGGAGCTAGGAGCGCATTAGCGATAACAGTGCGGTCTAGGTGTTCATTTATGAGAAGGCGCAGAATGTGCTTCTCGAACTTTTTAGTCGGCTAGAAATCATAGCCAGTGACTTGATTTCATCACCTTAAGGTTGCGGGTTTATGATTTCTTCGTCTTATGCACATAGAAACGGGGTTCGGCATGAGGTTCCATGTGCGACTGCGAATGCGACTTCTTTCAATTTTTCTCCGTTCTTGTTCATTGGCACTAACTATGCTTTCTCTGTTTTATTCTTTGTGGTACGGAAAGGTCCCTCAGATTTTTTCGAGTATCACACTTGTCGGACAACATCACGGACCCTTGGTTAAGATGAAGTCTGCCTTTTACTGCAATTGCAGTGAATCGAGGCCATTTATTTTCAGAAAGATCCGCTTCTAATGAGCCTCTCGAAGTACTTTAGACATATCCGCCATCAAGCGATTCTTTCAGTCGAAAGCGGTTGCTAAGATGAATACCGTTGTTCCCTAGGAACTCTTCCAAGAGGAAGTAATCATAAAAACGTGGAAGTTGGATGAAAATGGAAACTGTTGGAAGAACGAACAAGCCTCAAAGGGAATGCTGTGCTGCATTACATTGCGGCCGCAAGAGCCTGAACGCAGTCATTTCTTTGAGGCCACGATGAGGTAATATAGAACGAAACAAACGGCCTTTCTACGAGATCGAACTGCCGGTCAACATCAAAGAATCGGAGAAAGGGCGTGAAAAGGCAGCGTGTTCCAAGACGCGATCTCCTCGTAACGTGTCGAACAGGGCACGTCATACGTTGAGGATTCCCAGCGGAGGTCATCTGTAGTCGCTGGAGGGTG